CGTTTCCGGAGAAGATGGAGAGATTGGATAAAGCTTGTCATAGGCCTCCCGGTACTGACGGGCAAATTTTTCTAGGGCTCCGTAGGGAAAAAACTGGCCGTGCACGTGTTCTTGGTGACTCTTGAGAATAAGAACGTTGGAAAACAACTTCCCGCACGTGCCGCATTCCAGCTTCTCCGTGTTGTCGCCGTCGCCACTCTTGCCCTTCTTCTGCACCTTCTGCCTGTTCTCGTTGTACTGAATGACCAGTTCGAAACCGAAGTTTTCCAGTAATGCTTTGGCTGCGTTGCCTCTGGCCCCTGAAGCGATTCGGGGCGGCAGGACGGACGGTTCCAAGGATTTCTGCTTCTTTCCGTCTTTGCCTTCTTTGAGCCCTTCCCCTTCACTTATAGATTCTTGCTTTGGCTTGTCTTGCTTTTCGGTGATCTCTTCCGCCTCCTTGTAAGAAGGTGCGTCTTTCGCAGCTGCTGCGCAGTCGGCACTGGCCGGGGGCGCCTGCTCCTGTTTCAGTGATTTGCTTGCCTGCTGCTGCTGCTGCTGCTGTTTGGGGGCTGCAGCTGGGGCTGTGTGGCCTGGTACTGTTGCGCTTGTTGCTGGAGTAGCTGGAGTTGAGTTTGGCCAACGTGATGTTGTTGGGTTTGAATCTGCTGCTTCAAGTCTTCAAGCAAGGACCCGGCCATCCCCGCCATGCCGGGCATCCCAAATGCCGCAGAGCCCGGCAGGCCCAAGTCCGGCCCCAGGCTGAACTCCGTCCCAGGGATGTAGAATGGGAAGAGAAACTGAGGCTGCTGAAACTGCAGCAGCGCCTCGGGGGTCATGGGGAAATGAGGCAGAAAGGCGGGGTTGAGAAACTGAGGCTGAAAGAACGCTGCCTGCTGTTGCAACTCGTGTTGCAGCTGCATCTGAATTTGTGCTGGTGACTGCGCTGGGTGGTGGGTAGGCTGAGCAGAGATTAATTCTGGAGTTGGCTTTTTATTCAATTCTTTGGCATCTAAGTGGGTATCTTTGCTGCTGGCTGCAGCTAAACTCATGGACTCTAACATCCCTTGGCCGGGACTGTTCATGCTGGCTGCCACGCCGTGCCCGCCGGTTGCATGGCCGCTGGGGTCCAGCTTTGCAGCCCTCGCCTTTGTCTGGTGGAGCACGGACCTCATGTGGATTTCCAAGGTCGAGCTTTGGCTGTATGCCACGTTGCAGATGCTGCACTTGTAGGGTTTGTTATCTGTGCTGCTGTTGGTTTCTTGAGGAACGGGACTGGAGGCTTCCTGCAAGACCTTTTTCAACTTATGCAGGTGAGACACTGAGTTATAATGGACCAAGAGAATGTTCTTTTGGGTGAACGACTCTTTACACACTGTACATTTATATGGGCGAGATGGGTCGAGGAATTTTTCCATCGTAAAATTTGGCCCTTTTCTAAAAGGTAAGGTCCGCTTTGGTTCAGAGCCCGTGTCGTCTGGAATAGAGCTGCTGTCACTCCCTACAGGACTTGCCTTGCCTTCGTGGTCCACCTCGTAGTCTCTCTCCATTTCCTGCTCGAGGGCGTGGTCGTCCTGGGCCATAGTTTCAGTCTCTGCCCACAGTTCACCATTCACGGGCAAGGAGGCATATAACTGCTGAAGCTCGGCTTCGCTCAGTTCTGGGTGGCCTGCTTCCAAGTGTTTTTTTAAAGCCTGGAATGTACGGAAACTACGCTGGCAGAGATTACACATCGTCGCAGCCCGAATCGCGTGATACTGGGAATGTATCTGAAGCTTTTGCATAGTCTTAAAAGCCAAGCTGCAGTGGTTACAGCGATACTTATAAACGTGGCGGTCCGACACGGAGAGTGGTTGCCTTTTTTGCTGTTCACTTAACTGATCTTGCAGTGGGTCGGAGATTTTCATATCCTTACTGCTGTTCTTATTCCATTCCGACACGTCTGTGGCTTCTTTCGTTGGTTTCTGCTCCTCACTCTTTACTTCCATGCTAGCCTTGGAAGCGTCAAGACCCGCCATACTTCTGTCATCCATTGGGCTTTCACCTGCAGGGAAGGAGGCATAAGCATCACTGATGGGAGGAGGCAAGCCCACACCTTAAATGCCAATAAACCTTGTCAAGAAAGGTTTCTGCTTCATTGATTCTTTGAAGAAATATTTATTGAGCAGCTACTGTGTGGCAAGCATTCTTGTGGGCACTAGGGGTATAAAGGCGAATAAGAAATCACCCTTGACCTCAAGGAATTTCAAGATAGGGAAGAAAATAAGTCGGAGGTAATTAGAGTATGCTACAAGCAGTGTGATACCAAGGGCCATAGTGTTCAGGAATTGAAACACACAAAATACTCCTGATCATTGACACTGAGGTCCCCCAAGGGCAGTTTACAGGTAACCAGATATTAAATATGTCTTAGAAATCATGGCTTCTGGAAATCCTGTACTTTTTTTTCCTGTGTTTTTCTTTTCTTACTTTCTTCCCTTCCTTCTTTTTTAATCTTTAATAGTAGTAATACTGGAGCACCACCACGGATGCAGCCCCTGGGTGTGTCTTCCACAGATCTTGGTCAGAAGGTGGCATACCTGAATATTTCCCAGACCCCTCGGCTGTGACAGCTGCAGGTGTGTCCCGCTCTGACTTCTCAGAGGCAGCTGCTGGCAGTAGCAAACTATTGGGCATCATTACATCAGGGACAGGCACCTGTGAAAACCAAAGGGGGTCATGTCAAAGGTACCCCAGAAATCATGGACTCCATCACACCGCCCTTTGGCAGTAGTATATCCCAGTACGTTTTCCCAACCAAAGCAGGGACATTCTGTGGTTCTTACAGGCAAAATGCTTTCTTCACATTTTAGATCAAGGCTGTTGTGATACTGTAGGCTTCTTTTCTTTTTAAAAATATAGTTTGAAGGTTTTTATAGGCCTGTTTTGTGTAATGATAGCCAAGAAAATATGAAACTCAAGGTGCCCACAGGAATCGTTTGATTAACATTATACTTATAAAAATAGGACTGCAAAAGCTGTCATTAAATCAGCTATGCCTTGTATCATATTTGTTTTTTTTTCCCCTAAGCACAAGAGACAACAAATGGCCCTTAATTGCATTTTCTGCAATAGAGTCAGTAAGAGAGCTTGGCGTAGTGCAGAAGCAATAAATTTCTATCAGTCCATAATTACAGATTTTGTGTTGATACCTTTACAGGGATGGTATGTCACACATGCATCAACATTTGGTATCCTTACTGTCATAAGCAGCTTCTCCACACAATCTGGAGACACACTGTGTAAATGCGTCAGATGCAGCTGCAGGTGCATTTTGTTGCTGAGGACGTCCTGGCAGAGGGGACAGCAGATGACCGGCTGCACCGAGTGCTGTGACAGGACATGCATCTGGATACGACTTTGGTCCCTACTATTGTAGTTACAATAAGGACACTGAAATAACTGGAAAATATTGAATAAACATGACCACTGTCAGTTAATGGGTTTTGATGACTTAAGAGCATTAAAAGTCACATCAAGAGTTAATTACTTTACCAATCACAGTGTATACAGACATTTCAACAGCATACAATAGTTGGGGGCTCTAAAATTATCAAAGGCAATAATTTAAAAACAAACAAACAAACAAAAAACAGGCTGATACAGCCAAGGGGAAAAAAAGCACATTTACCTGTTCGTGACAGAATTTATTATCCTCTGTAGGTTTTGATCTTTTGGTTGCCACATCCTCTTCCTTTGCCAGCAGGAGTGGCTGGGTTCCCCCTGCCACACTGACTTTTAGCTCCTTTTCTGGTGTGATTATTCCTGATTCCCCAAAACAGAATAGAACATCTCAATTTTAAGAGACTAACAATGCCGAAATCTGAAAAATTATGTGTTCAAATGGCTCTGACTCTTAATCCACTGAATCACCAAAAAAAAATGGACAAGGATTTTTATATGATGGTAAACTCAAAAGGCAAAAGGTACATCTCTTTTTGTCTACCAACCAAGTGGACTTTATAAATATATTTTAAAATGTACTCCTGTCTCATGTTTTGATAACCCTGGGTGACCTTGAAAGATTCATCAATAACACGTGCTCTCTGGTGTCTCAGAATGCCTTTATCACACAAGAGCCAACTTACTCCCGTTCACAAATGCTAACTTAGAAAATAATTAATTTTTTGCTCATGTTTAATTACCAATCTCTTTTGTAAAATTCTGGGACACTGAAAACATTTCAAAATTCTGAGAAGAGCTGACTGACTATAATTCAGGAATGAAAACAGTGTTTTTACATGGTGAATGTAGGATTTAAAAATTAACTATAGGTAACGTAGCCACTGTGGTTTGTGATTTATTTTTTCCTTCAGATGTTTGAGCAGTTGGCTGTGCACAAAACACTGTAGTCCACATCTCAAGAAGACAATTGTTTTATGAGGTTAATCTGTATATTTGGTGTAGAAGACGGTTTAAAATTTTGCCTAGGTGAGCAACATAACATATGGAAGGCTCATACACATCAAAGAAAAGAGTGTGAGTCTAATTTCCCGATCTAACAGAAAATTCTTTCTAGCATCAATTTTCCCAATAAGCTCCTCTGCGAGGCTGGATATCACAGCGACATTGGGTAGGCATGTCACATACATCTCATGACAAACACAAAACCTCATTTACCAGCCATTCCAATCTCATCATAGCGCAGCATCATCTGACCTTTTTTCTGCTGTTTATTATGAGTATTTCTAATTTTAACTTTCAATTTTCACCATCTTCCAGTCAATTTGCAACTAAATTATTTCCAGGGTGAGGACACTATCACTGGACAACTGGGTGCAAATACATCTTGAAATGCAATGAAGCTAAACCATTGATTGCTATCAGACCCCGCGTAAATATAGAGTCTAGGCATAATCTGATTGTATGCTGTGCATGAAGATTTATCTTGATTTTTTTTTCAATCCACATACGGTTCATATAAATGAACAAATTACACCTTATTGCAAAATAACCCAGTTTTAATTTAAAAATAAGGTTAAGGATGTTATGGAAACAAAGTAAAAACGAACCCCAAAATGCATTCTTTTCCTATCCTGGATGGAGATGCATGCTTTATACCATGTAAATAATTTTATGAATTTCAAATTCTGAAAGAAATTTAAAAGTAAGTCTGACTCTGAGGAGATCAAAATTAAAATAAAATTTAACTGACATAATGACAGTAATTTTATTCCCTTGGGGCTTGTGGTAGGTATAGAGTTGGTGCTACATTTTCAAACAAATTGCACTGATCCTGATTTCTAGATTTACAAACACTAGATTTTATTTGAATTGGTACAGTTGTCCTATATATATATATAGATACTTCACAGAAATTTAGATTCTTTCTAAATATCTGAAAAAATAATTTATTGTAGTTGTGTTTGAGTGAACTTAAACTGGAGATAGACTAAAGAATTTCATTACACTGATTAAACAATATCCAAAGAAAGGTCAAAAACAAGAATGTTTATTTCATAATTAATTGTGGAATCAAAACAATGTGTTTCTTCTTAAGGGAAAATTCTCAAGGCAGAATATGCTTTGTGCTATCATTTTGAAGTGTTGAAAATAAACATTGAAGAAAATAAGATGATACTTAGTATTTGCAAATAAAATTTACTGCTTAGGGTATCAGATCACCTTAAAATGACTGTCATTTAAATCACCAAAAGAGTATGGGTGTTTTTTTTCCTTTGAGACTGGAAGATTTTTCTTAAAAAGTTCTCCAATAATGTTCTTTCTTAAGAATTCTTTCTTAAGAGAATATTTCCATATCACTCTTTTGTGTACATGGTAGAATCAGACATGACCAAATAATAAGTTGGTCCAGTTCCCTGTGCTATCAAAGACTGTCACACACAAGGTAAAAGAGAATTTCCATAACTCTTGTTGCTTGCAGTCCTTCTGGAACATAAGAAACAGAATAAGCCTTCCAGAAACTTCTAAATCTATTAAATGTATAGTTATGGCCTGATTTTTATAAGCATGTATCTTCAAATATTAGTACTATGAAGAATCAGAAAAACATTGACTTCAAGGTTTGAGACATTTAACTAAGACTAGACTATACAGTCGTGTACATATTTGATATAGTTAATCCACATTATCTTTATGCTTATTAATATTCATCAATAACATAACTGCTTTTGGATTTAAGGACATTCAAGCTGCATGAAGAAAAGAGTTAAGTTTTAGGGTCACTATTTCATAGCCATTACGGTCACTGTTGGCTATGGTATAACACCCAATATATGTGCCAGCTCCAATATTTTTTGGCTAATTAACTTGGTTAATTAAACCATGATCTTAATGTTAGTTCAAAGCTTCCTCAAGACCATTTTATTTTAAATTGAAAAGAAGTTATAAATAAAGTCTAAACCCACGAACTGTAGCTAGGCACCCCAGAAATGCATGTCACTGATAAGAAGCAGCAGCAGAGACTGCTTAGATGTAATAACGTATGACAAAAGCAGACTCTTGAAGGTCAAACAGGTCACTGGTAGTATTTGCAAACATGGCGGACCTTACATTTTACGCACGCATGCCTTTCCTACTCAAAGGGTTACCATCGCAGGTATTATGGCCTCCCTGGTTAATTATAGGAAATCAACTCTGGGGTCTTTTGCTGAATTATTATATCCTAGCAATATATTAAATAAAGGCCAATTAATTTCAGGAAGGTTTTAAGTTTTGCAATTTCATAGTTTATGTCTGAAATTTACTTGAAATGAACAGTGTTTGTTACCCTAGACAAAATTTTGAAATGAGCTAATAATTCATTTTGGGTTACCAAGGACATCACAATATCCTCCAAAAACAATGCCATTTTAATACATTTTAACTAAACAAATGAAGTCTAATTACAAATAAGCACTGCCAAATAGATGAGCCAATGATTATCTGTCCGTTATGGGATTATTTACCTTGCATGAGATTATGGGTATAAAAATGACATAATTCATTTCAATTCAGATGTTGCCTACTTAATAAATTTTCAGTCCCTAGAATACAGAAGGTTGTAAAATGGCTTACACTCATAACAAGTGAGGAAAATCTAATAGCACACAGGTACTCAAAGCAAATGTTGGAAAAAAATCAACAAAACAAAATGCTGAGTTATTATTTATGAATCAATGTGTTTGATAAGGTTTGAATTCTATAAAACTTGGATGTAACAGAAGATGTTCTTCAACTCCAAATAAGTCTAAATTATAATTACCAATACAGTATTCTTTCTAATGAGACTAGAATGAAAGGATAATTTTAATTGCAATAATGAAGGTTAATTTCCATCTTTCCTCATGTTTACTCCCTTATTAAAAAGTGGTCCCCTTAGCCATGGCAGAGACATATTACATTTTCAATGCAAATGTATTAATCTGGATAAACTCTATATTAATTCTTGTAGTGCACAGAGCTATAATTTGGATTATAATTAATCTAAAGTGGCACTAGATTTAAATGACAATATAAATGAGGCATTAGGAGGCTTTTCTATTATGAATGAATATTCAACAAATATAACTCGCCTATTGCCAAGTCCCATTTTGAAAGCTCCAGTCCTAGAGATTAATGTCAGCGGCAGTACAACAGCTTACACAAACACCGTCTTCCTAACACGTGCTAATTCCTTCCTGTCTGAAAAATTCTGTGTTAAACTGGGGTCACACTGTTTTCCCATCTAACACATTAAGAGAGTGATTAATATGTGAGTTTGCTGGTATTTTTTGACATCTGTAACTGACATCAGGAAAAAAAGAAACAATACATACATAAGTAGTTATTTGATCACGAGAAATACCGACACGGAAAAAAAAAAATCCACGTAATTTTTCACCAAATCAGATTCAATTTAGGACAAAAAAAAAAAAAAAACCAACTCTGTTAAAAGTTCCTGTAGGCAGTCAATAAGAACTGTCCTGATGTCTGGGAGGTTTCAAGGCTAAATATTTGCATCTCAGTAATTGCTTTGAGTTGGTGCTTAAAGCCCACTTTCATCCTTATAGCTGTGGTTGGGGAGGCAGTTCTACAGGGATAAAACTGTGTTTTAAAAAACTACCATTATCCAACGGTCTGTGTCCTCTCACATGCCTGAGTCCTGTCGAGATGGTACAATTAGAGGCCCAAGAAAGGACAATAACTCATCAGGCCATTAGGGAGTGGTTGAGCCCATTATTTATGTAGAGCAGTAAACTGGGCTGGTGGAGATAGGGCCCTCACATCTGCGGTTTGTTCCAAGCAAGACTCCTTCCTCACTGGGGAGACTGGAGCCCCTTTCAAGAGATTCCCACAACCCATCCTTTACAAGGTCTTAGTTACGTAAAACCAAGCATCATGTCACATTCCTAGGTATTACGGGAATACTCCACGAATCCTGATGCTCTATCTGTGGGTTTTACACATCCTTCTGAAGAATGGGATTGGGGCGGGAAGAGACTTGTGGTACAACTGTGAGAAAATCACCCCTGAAGGCAGGCAGAATCCTGCCCTCCCCCTCCCCAAAGTAGGCAAGCAGCCTTGATGAGGTCCATCCTTGAGAGTGAATGACCTGACTACCTTGCTATTTCCAATTGTTTTCAAATGAGGGTAGATGGCACCACCCTTGACCTTAATCCTGAGGTCCTTCAAATTCCTTGTCAGTAACCTCAAGAGCCGACTTCCTCATATACAATTCTGGCATCTTTTTTTTTTTTTTAAACATTGCTTTAGGCTCAATACCAACCTTAGCCCCTCTTTGTTTAAATCAAATTAGAATCATATGTTAGCCACAAGATCCTAGATGCAAATTTAAATGGCTCTTTTCTCACTGGATTCCAGAGAGAAATTCAGCACTGAACGGTCTGGGGTGGGGAGCAGGGAGGCCCTTCAAATAATTTTCGAAGGGAATGGAAAACTCAGATCTTCAAAGACTGAGTAACAAATAGGGGATAATTCAGGTTTAAACAAACTTGCACATGAAAATGATATTTTTTTTGCACAACCCAATGTCTTCATAGTGAAAGCAAGCTCTTTTCTACGCGGCTGTCACTGGAATTCAAGGCAAAGATAGATGACTACCTGAAACTAATAGGCTTGAACCGGTTTCAGCACTTCTTCTGCTTCAGTGAGTCCAACATAATAAAACTAGGTATAGCGTGCCCCAAAAATAGCCAATGTAATATTCATTGCGACCATAGATTTCCATCTCATACATACAAAGCATGGATGAAGTCATATATTTGCCAAATCAAACAACAGAAAAAGCCTTAGGTATCCACACCAGATGCTGGCCTAGGGTTTGTTTGTGCACAAGTAAATGTCATGACACGAAGGTTTGTTTTCAAAGACAGTAGCTTTCATTACTGGGATTTGTCTATTCTGGAAGATCAAAATTACCCCGCACCTAATCCCTTCTCAATGATATTTCCTCTTCTTAGGCTGAATCATCTGCAAACTTTTTCACTGGATTTTGTTTGAAATGCCTCAAATAGATGCCCTTAAAAAGGGCAAATTCCTGAGTGGAAATGGTAAAAAAAAAAAAGCAAGGAAAAATAACATTTATTTTTAGGGTTACGTAGTTTGGGAGGGAGGTGGGGTGATTGAATGAAAAAAATTCAAGTGATATCTAATCCCGTGCTTATGAAAAATTAATATGCCATCAGAGGACCCACAAGTATAGCTAAGATTAATGAAAGGCGCTTAAAAAATTACAAGCACACAAACTGATTTGATTAAAAAATAATCTCGCTGGTCGTCCTGCAATATTCTTCAACTTATCCACATCTATTCTGTCAGATGGTTATGATTAAAAATAGGTCAATGGGAGGCTACTGATAGAAATCACATGCAAAATGCACATGCAATGCGTAGTAGTGGGAATGTTCAGACAGTTTAAAATGAATAAAGGCTTTTAATCAGCTTTGGCTGGGGGGGGGGGGCGGGGTGTGAAGGAAGAGCCGATTGCAGGAAATGGGGGTGTGGGGAAGAAAAGGTGAGAATCTAACATCTTACCAGAATCTTTATTCGAGTTTTTGCCTTCACTACTGTCTCTCTCACTTGTGTCCTTCTCCTCATCCTCGACCACTGCTGGAGGTTTGATAGCTCCTTCTGCCTCTTCACTTTGCTCTTCTGTTAAGAAAGGCAGACCAGTCAGGAGGATGCAAAACCCCAGAAATGCACAAGCTGAAAGAAACTACGGGACCATTTGAAAACTTTCTTATTTGTGAATCATCTGTAGACCTTCATTCTCAAAAAAAGAACATGAATTTATTCAAAAGACTCTATTAGAACCTGCTGGCTAGACCAATGCAGTTTTTGGTTTTTGTTTTTTTTTTTTCAATTTTTATCTCCAGCAACTTCTTTTATATCCATTGAGAAAATGGGTCTGTACTAAATTAAAATAAAAGCGATCGTTTAAAAGAAAGACAGTTCAAGCCAGAAAAGATTTAAAAATGAATGGAAAGCGATTTTGTAATTTCCATAGTAGAACCTTCTGAACTACATGAATACACTGTTCCATGGGCTTGGATAAATGGCAGAGCAAACCAAAGTTTTGGAAAAATTTCTTAGTAAAATAGTGTGATGAGGACAGGTTAAATATAAGACAGGTGTTATTCCCACCTTTTAGTCCTTAGACCCCAGAGGAATTTTTTGGAATTTGTCAAAGTAAGATCTCAAAACTTGAGTTACACTGGGATTTTTTTTTTTTCTATACGGGGAGCTCCACAGGGTGTAGGACAGAAGAAGGTATACTTCTTCTATGACAACCACATCACCCCACACCTCATTCACGGGTCTCACACCAGCTAGATTACATGGAAATCCTCATAGTAACTCAACCCTATTTAATTATTCTGTAAATCTCAGCTATGCCGCTGCTGGTGAATTAATCTGTTTATGCAGTTAGCCTCTGTGCTGGGTCTGTGTCCCACTAATCCGTGAAAGGCCCACTGTTCTCTTTCATCCTGTGATCATTTGTCTCTCACTGTGCTGATGTCACATTTTAATGAATTTTTAGCAATCTGAGTAATGCCAGATAACCAGACTCAGCTCCCCCCAGCACGGCATGCTGCTTCCATTGCAGCACACACAAAAATATAAAAATCATATTCCCCTGTTCAGGTAGGAATGACATAAAGTAGGAGAAGAAGGTAAAATGGGATTTGAAGCACCAGGCTGCTCAATTTCATAAAATCTTTAATGACCATATAAATTAACCCTGGAAAGGCAAAAGGTCATCGACACACATTTGCATACACTCCTCTATTTGCTTTGGATAAGCAGAGCTTTTATGCAGAGAACATGATACAATTAACCCTTCAATAACCATACAAAACGCTGCTCCGGACATTTTAAGTGTCAAGCATTAACAGAAAATTACACACTGCATAAAATTTTCATTGCAAATGCGATAGTGATTGAAAGGGGAAATCGTGGCCCTCTCCACACCCCATGTTTTTTTAATAACGTTCTGACAGCAGAATGAAATATCCAGTCACATGTAGCAGCTGAGCGCCAAAAAAAAAAAAAAGAAAAGAAAAAAATGTGGCTATTTAGTGTCTCACTTGTCAGCCATGCTCTACAACTGTGATAGCAGAAAACAGCAGACAGTTCTGGGTTCAGTGGGGGAAACTCCAAAAAAAAAAAAAAAAAAAAAAGGAAACCAAGGCCATTTAATACATTCGAAATCAGAGTTGGTTTCAACTGTAAGTCCTCAAAGGGACCATACAAATCCATTTATTCCATGTTTGCACTTTGCCACTGCACAAAAGCAGAGGGGAGGTCCTTGGGGAGGGGTCGGTCATCTGAGGGTTTGGGAGGAAGCTGCCCCTTCAGGCAAACACACAGGGAGACTGTACTTGAGGAATAGCGGATCAACATGTCTCATGGTTGCGGCCGGCTTTCAGTCCGGCGGTGATTATCACTGATCAAACACAGGCTCCCTCCTCCCAGCACGGGGCCGGCTGGGTGGGGACAGTGGCCTGGCTCAGTTTGGGAGGCTGGGAGGCTAAGATCATGGCTGGATGGGGCTGGGTCCCTGCCAAGTCCACCCACGTGACGTGACGTGACATCCAGTGTCAGGCCTGTGACCTAGGGCAGCCCATGGCAATGGCTTCTCAACTCATCCTGGGGAAGGGATGCACGACTTCTTTGGAGTCAATTTTCTGGACCTTTCTCCCCAGGGCTGGAAAAGAAAGTGTCAAGAGTGCTACTGAGTGTCCTTATCTTGAGGGGACATAAAATTGTAAGGGCCATCACCACTCACATTAATAAAACATCGTGTGTCAGGAGAAGCAGATGAAAATTATGAAGGTCCTAAAAGAAAAACTACAGTATAATCTGGGTCTCATCAGTGTTTTGCAGGATCCTCTTCATTTTCTTTCTGGTCTGTGTTTTAAGTGTGAGAGAAATTCCCAGACATGCCCTCCTATACATCACTGGTGTCTGACCTCAGCCTGACCCTGGCAACAGTTTGAGAAATCTGAATGTGAACAAAGACCCTGTGTCAGCAGCAGGGAAAGACTGTGGGATAGACTCTCCCCATCAACTTAATCGCAAACAGCAGTTCTGAGGCCATAACTTTGCGCGGCTCCTCCAAGCCACAGCTCATAACCTCCCGAGGTGGATTGCCCGGCGCTGCCTCTGCTTCTGTGGCCCCCCCCCCACCCCTCTCTGGTCCTTCCTTTGAAGTAGGCAGGCAATTAGCTCTAATGCTCAAGCAATTCAGACCTGTTTTGTGGTTTTGAAGGCGAAAGCTGTTTATTACAGGTAGGCTCCTTGGAGCCACAGAACTTTGCAAATTTTTAATCACGCAAAAAATAATCAAAGGGTAACTGATAGACACCATAAAGTTTCATGCGAGTCAGAAGAAAAGGTCACTTTCATTCTTAAAGGGAGTTTTGGAAATAAATTTGACATTCCTTTTATAAATAGACTTTAGAGTCAAGAGCATTAATGTGGAGAAACCACTTTCTCTAGAAAGACCTGGAGGTTGGGGTAAGGGAAAGAGGGGGGAGGTTCTGATTTTCAAGTACCACACTTCCTCAACTGTAAAACGCCATGAAATGTAAGATGCTTACATTTTACGTAAAAAGGAAGGACTTTTTTTGGAAAAAAGGGAAAAATAATATATGACACTAATTGTATTAAAGAGATGCCTTAGAACTGAGGGAAATTACATAAAACTCCAAAATAAAGATCCTAAAGCAGTTTTCACTTTCATCAATAAATTTCTTCAGTAACACATTACCTGTAACAATAAGAAAAGTATTCTAGCATTTCAGAATACTGTTGTATTCACACTGTTTATATTTCAATTGTTCTTTTGCCTCATGGAATATAAAAAAAATCGTATTTATTCATATGTTAAACTTTATGATACGAATGTACTTAAGCTTAAAATGTGCATTAGGGTCCGTTAGAACTTCCCAATTTTCAGGTAAGTGATAAAATGTTTTTATTTTAAAAGGTTTCCAAATAATAGGAAGGAGACAAAAATAATACTACACAGTCTTACATTGTAAAAGTATAGTGCAATTAACTTCCCATTTTTATTGTGCCTGAAACGCTGATCTTACAAGTTACTCTACACATCCACATAAACTGCATTTAAAAGAAAAGTTTTTGAATGACTAGCTTAGAGTATTTTCATTTGAATAACAAAAAATGATTGGAAAATCACTACCAATTTATACTTTAAAATTGTAATATATAATTTGTAAGCAAATCTTCAGTGATACCTGTCTGATCTAAATACCAGCCAGTTTTGCTTGGCCACCATTGCTTTATTATACAGTTGGGTTTGGGAACCCTCTGAGTCATCTAAGGAAAACACTGCCTACTTTTTAAGCCCATCTAAAGAGGAAGTAGAGGATAATAACTTCAACATCTTTAGTTTTTCATATTGAGCATCTATTCTGGACACCTGGCTTACAAGAATTCCTTGCTGGGCCTCTTCATTTCCTCCTTGTCCAGTGCCCAGTCCCTCCAAATCTATCCTTCATGTGATCAACCTAAATCTGACTCCTCAACTTAAAATCTTTCAGTGACTGCCGTCACTTAGAAAGAAAAATCTCAGTCTTATACATGGCATGAGGAGCTGGTCCTTGTCCACCACTCCAGTCTCATCTTTCTTCACTTCCTACCTAGCCCTTAACTCTTGAGAATGATCTTCTCAAATTTTAGGGCATCGGAATCACCTGGAACACAATCTGCTGGGCTCCACCCCTAGAACTTCTGACTCGGTAGGTTTAGAATGAGGCCTGAGAATCTACATCTCTCAGCCCCTAGGTGATGCTAATACTCTTGGTCCAAGGACCACATTTTGTGAACCAGTGTTCTAGACACACACAACTGTCATTAATGTCTTCTTCCTCCCTAGAAGACATACTATTATTTTTCTTTGTCTTATCTAGAATGGCTTTTCTCCACTGTGTAACTCCCATCTTTCTTTTCTCCCTAGCTTGGGAAATACCATTTTCATCAGATGTAAAAATGGAGTTAATACTACCCACCTCTAGATTTGTTATAAGATAATGTATAAAAATCACTCAGCACAGAACTTAGCACAAAATAAATATTAAAAAATGTTAGCTGTATTATTACTCTTAATTTCTTCTTTCTCCAAAAAGTCTTCCCCCAATGTTGAACTAGGATTAATGTTTCTGTGTAAGTTTTTGTTTCCCCCTTTTCTTGTGCATAGATGTCAAACAACTTACCCTCGTATGTGGAAATTATCCATGTATTGCCTACTTCCCCTAAAAGGTACACATTTACTAAAAACGGTGATTTTCTGATTTGTCACTGTCCCAGAAGCACCTGGATCAGTGCCTGGAATAACAGAAGTCAGGTGATACTTGCTGGTTGGAACACTGAGCTCCATTTAGAAAGCAAAACTGGGGGAAGAAAAGGAGGAGTCCAGACTATCTCACTCCTCTATTCCCTTTCAATAAAACTTAAAAGGAGTATTTGTTTGGTTTGGTTTTGGTCTGGTTTGGGTATTTTCTTTTTTTAACATTCTCTCTCTCTACTAAATCATATTCATTATTCAACCCTCTCCAGCCTGGCTTCACATCAATGGCTCTTCTCAAAGCCACCAATGACTTGCTTGCTGTGAAATCCCGTGGTAACTTTTCTGTCTGCATTGTACTAAACGATGTTCTACAGATGTTACTACTCCATTCTCCTTGAAAAATGTCCCTTTCTTGAATTTCATTCCATCAGACTATTGTGATTTTCATCCTACCCCTCTGAAAGTTCCCTTGTATTCCCCTTCTCTGGGGCCTCCTCCATGACAAATCTAAATATTGGAGAGTCTCCAGCATCGGTCCTAAGCCCTATTCTCTTACCTACAAAGAATGCTTGATTTGAGGAAAAACAATGATCTCCCTAGATGATTTCATCTAGATCCACTGCTCTAAATTTTATGTCTCCATTTGGACGGCTGGAAGGCATATCCAACTTCATATGCCCAAATCAGGGCTCCTGATCCACCTTCAACACACTTCACGGGTTCTCCCCAGTCTCCACTATCTCAGGTAATGGTACCACCGTTCACCAAAAGCAAGAGTCATCACTGACTTCTTTCTTTCCTTCTCATCTGCCTATAATCTTACAGCAAGTCCCATTAATTCCAACTCCAAAATATCTGGTATTCACTAAATCCATCCATTTCTTTACTTTTCCATTGTCAGTACTCTTAATCCCTTACCTGTTTTTCGAAAAAGTTCTCATAATTGGGAAAGACTTGTTATGTTCTCCTACAATTTATTCTGCACACCTTAATAAAATCGAGCCATTCTCCTATTTGAGTCCTTGCCATAGTTTCCTATCTCACTTAAGATAATACAACATTTGAAATTTATTTTTTTATTGAAGTATAGTCAGTTTACAATATTGTGTCAATTTCTGGTGTTCAGCATAATGTTTCAGTCATACATATACATATATACACTCCTTTTCATATTTTTCAAATGGGGAAAAAAAAACCAAGATACCAATTTTGGACTTTCAGGTTGGCAACAACAATTTATAAAGATAATACTCCTGTGATTTTAAGATTGAAGAATGGATCTGCTCACATATTTCTGGTGGGAATGACTGGAAATTAGCATGACTTTTCTGGAGAACAAAATATGTATTAAAAGCATTTAAAAACAGCATATCCCCTCGGCACAGCAATTCTAATTTTTCTCTCAAATGAATAACTAAGAAAATTCACAAATAATGCTTATGCCAGAATATTTGTAGTGGTCAAGAACTGTACATGCATTAAAATCATGCCTCTACTGAGGTGAAATTCACAATGTAGAAATTAACCAGGAAATGCCAAAAAAAAAATCATGACTCTAAACATAAAAAAAAAAAACATAAAAACTCGTTACTGTGGTTGAAATGATCAGGCCTCAGCCTACCTTTATGGCTTCACCTCATGTCACTCTCCTCCCCACTCACTAATCTGTCCCCATGTTAGCCTTCTTTCTCTTTACGGAAGAGGACCAGCTTTTTCCCAACTGTGTCTGTAATGCACATCCCCTAATTGGCTCCTTGTCCTTCTTTAGGACTCAGCTCATCTGTCATTTCCTCAGAGAACTTCCCTGACCTCTGCTTCTAAAGTAGCCCATCACCTGTCACTCAGGTGGGGTCCTCAGACTTCCATGGGAATCACTCACATCACTTGGAGGGCCTGTGAAACTACTGGGTGCCTCCGTATTTCTGATTCAGCAAGTCAGGGATGGGGCTTGAGCATCTGCATTCCTACAAGTTCCCAGATTTTGCGGATGCTGCCTGCAAGGGGACCACACTTTGGGGCCTGCTGCTCTGCATGTTACCTCTTTTACTTCCTTCATCTCATTGGTTGCAATCTGAAATTCACATACTTATTTGTATAGAAATGTTGTCTAATCATGAGAGAACTCATCTGCCTTACTCATACCTTCTGCCCAAAAGTCTTAGGCAATTTTGAGTAAAATTGACGATTCCTAGTTTTTCTACTTGGGGTAACTAGGTCTATGGTATCAGGTCATCAATTAAGATAAAGGAAAGAGGAGAAGATGGCTTTGCCAAAAAGAGAAGTTCAATTTGGAATCTGTTATGTTTGAGTTCCCCATAGAACATCTCCATGAAAATATCCAGAAGGCATGCGAGTATCAAAATATAAAGCTCTCAGAGAGGTTGAAGTGAAGATGTAAATCCTGGTGTCTTTGTTTACAAAACAATAAAGAAATGCATTGAGAGAGACTGTTCTCTTTTTTGTTTGATATTTTTGCCATAGTCTTGATTTTTGCCCTGTTACTTCCAATCTAGTCCTTAATGAAACCTTTTGATTGGCCTGAAATGAGGAAGGGGAACTGAGTCTTTTTGCTACTTTCTCTTAAGTGTGTACTCTAGTTTTCTAGGGAAAAATAACACATAAAATAAAAAAATAAATAAAATACAAAAGAAATAAGTACTTTAAATAAAAAAGTATTCATGAAACATGAATAGGTGAAGGAAAACTTCACTCTGAAGAAGTTTTTTAAGAGAAAAGTCCTGACTCTATATTGGAGGAATGTTTTCACTTGCAATTTTTTTTTAAGTATTTCAATACCCCATTATGAATGTGAAGGACTTTTTATAATCGTTTTTTGTTCTGTATAGCACCTTATTATTCCAATTGTGTAAATCTGGAAACTGGGATCATGCTTACATAGCAGAAATAAATGAGGTGTGTTGTAGCAACATGGGTGAAATTCCTCTTAAATTATTTGAATATAATGCGGCTTAAAGGCATAGCCTCCATTTTTTAAACACACACAGAATCACCCAAAACATAGGAACTCGTGAACGTGTTGACATGGCTGTACAAAATCCAATCAACTCATTAATTACCAAAACTCACTCCGCCAGCCAGGTTATTTGATTTAGGAAAAAATAATATCCAGCTTATTGACTTACAATCTGTATAAAACTGACCATTTAGGTAAAACTTCACTGTATAGAAGTACAGATGTGAGAAATTATCCAGCAGAAGTCACTTGTTCTTTAAGAACTGACTTTACATATGTGTCCAAATAACGACTATATTTAATTTAATTTATTATATATTTGACTTATTATATATGTCATATTGATCCAGTCTAGATTTGATTTAAATTATTTGTATAAGGGACCTGATCGGTTCTAATTGGAGCAGTTTCAGAGAGAGCTGATGACATTTATTATGAGACTAACACACATCACTCGTTTAGGACAGACAAGAAGACCAGTTACCTGAGGAAGTTCTCAGCTGCTGCTCTGTAAGATCATCCTCACAGGTCCTGGCTCCCAAAGAGGCAGTTTCTGTAAAGGACATCAGAGTGAAAGATAATCAGCATGCCATGTCCAGCTCTGCAGTGCTAGCCAATATCCCAAGAACCCAAAATGTGGCTTTCAAAGAGATAAGCATCAGGTGGAGTTCAGGTGACTCTCTAGCCCACCTTCCATCCCAGTGAGCAGGGGATGCACAATGCATCCAAGGAGTAAGTAGTAAGCTTTGATCTAATTCACAATGGCCAGGAGCACCCAACACATATAATAATATCAATAAAATATGGAAACAGGAAAGATTCACTCTGATTTTTACCACGTGGTTATTTGGCCAAGTTTCCATCATAGGGCGATGTGCTATAATGACAATGGCACATGACATAAACCATGAGCATACTTTTCTCTCTCTGTCAAGGAGCCAAAAAAGAAGAAAAAATAACAACAAAACTCAATATATAATAGCAGATGTGAGAGACCAAAGCGAAAAACACGCACTTGAATAAAATCTGAAGAATGCGTCCAAATCATCAATAAATCCACCTCTTTATTCTGATCTTTTATTTGAGCTCCAGAGCATTAAGTGCCAGCAATGTCCTGATTTGCTAAACTCAATCCCAAACACATATCATTAGTTTCATCTAACTGCATTCTTCCTTTGTGTTCCCTGTTGTAGAGAAATCTATAAGGAACAACCCAACTTCAGAAATCACCTTCAACACCTTATTCTTTCTCTACACATGTTGTTGATTCCACTTTACAGTGTCTCCTGTCATGTCTGTTTCTCTATCCCTCTGTCTTCATTTCTTTCCTGACAATTTCAGTAGCCTCCACAACACTCTCCCTGCCTGGAATCCCATGTCTTTCCAATCTAACCTCTCATCCTATCTCAAGAGTTATCTTTCAAGAAAATAGCATTGCTTGAGGTCAGGGACCTTAGGTATATTACTTAACCTCTCTAAGCCTCAATTCCCTTGTTTGTGACATGCAGATATAATTATATAAATAATCAACAAATATAAGAGAAAATAATATAAATAAAGGTAGAATGTGATATCATTTTCGAAGTGAGAAAAGCCCATATCTGATTGAGAGGGGGAAAAAAGGTATCGTCACACAATTCTTACACTGCCAGAGAGACTCAGGTTTATCTAATATTTCTAGACAACAGCGTCTGTGGTTGATTCTGAAGGCTTTAATTAAACAAATAATCAACCTTGAAAATAGAAGTGCACACCAAAGTGCTCTTATTGCATTTGCTAATTGTTTTTCCTGCTGCATACAAAACCTTTGGCCTTGGGTGGTAAACTGTTTAAAAACAATGTGATCATCTTAAATACTCAGCGCCCTCTCCCAACAACAAGCAAAAAAAATTTAAAAATTATCTTGTAAGTCTATCTTAAATTAGTCTTCAAAAAAAGAATCTGTCCCTGATCCTTGCTTATAAACTCTGGAATAACTTTCAAATAGTCACAACATTGACATCCCACCAATGTCACCCAAGGGGCTCCCTTCCCCCTGGCAATCTCCCGTAGCTCTACGCCTTGATCATTCGTTGAATGTCTTTTTGTTCTTCTCCTGTTAAACTCTCATTCTTCCTTCAAAACCCAAGGCAAATGTCACCTCCTTTGTGCTCTCATAACAATTAGCTTACACAGAACGTTTCAGCACTTCTGATGTATTGGGATAATTTTCACATGATCATGTCCATTTCTCCCTAAACCGTGAGTTCCTTGAGAACTTGTATTTTCACAGATTCTCAACTGAGAGTGAGGCAAATCCAAGTCACCCAGGACACCTTTATTCGAAACACTGATCTATATCCTGTATCCTGAAACTGATGGATCCCAAGATGAGAACTGTATGAAGCTTCCCAGAGCCTCAGGATGCTAAATTCACAGCTTCCTCAATGATACCCAAAATAGACAACTGACTGCTCTTCCATAGACATAAATGTGAGCGCGTGTAAAACTGGTTCTTAGCCTCTTTTCTGGCAAAAAAAACCCCAAAACCCATTTTTTCAAATAATCCTTACCATTACACACACACACATACACACACACTTCAATGTATCAAACAGACTTTGTTTAGAGGTCAGTAGTGCCTGAGGGAATTTGACCAAATGACTGTACTTCTTAAAGATTCATGAAGATAAAAATAAAACATTGACAATTTATTAAGTTTGTATCTCTGCCAGGCACTGTGGTAAACTACTTGCGTAAAACCAGTTACGTAACCTTTGCAATAAAATCATAAAGCAGTTATTAATCTTTATTTTACAAATCAGGAGCCTGGGGGCTTAAAGAGGTTAAGGTCATTTGTCCCAGGTCCCCAAGTTTGAAACTGACGGAGCCTGGAATGAAACTCAGGTCAGCCTGGTATAAACGTCTGTGAAATTTTGGATGTCTCCAGTTTCAATACCACAGTATTGAGGAGTCTACAAAGGTTTTCCCATCTTTGTGAAGGCCAGAAAACTAAGTGTGTTTTGGCAGTGGGGAGGCACAGGGAGAAAGCAACTTTTTACTTGTCCTGTGAAAATTCTGATATTTCATAGAAAAAGCAACTTTTCACTAGTCCTGTGAAAATTCTGATATTTCATAGAAAAAGCAACTTTTCACTAGTCCTGTGAAAATTCTGTTATTTCATAAAAGATTTACATTCCTTGAATACATAATGTAACCAAATAATAGTTTGGTGCCACACTGAAATCATTTCATTGGCTAGTGATTTAAGGAAATGCACAAAATGTCAAAACCAGAAGCTGTTATTTCATCTCACAAATCAGGTCACGTGGCCTTGGAGGCTGCTCCCATGAGAGTGACGTGTGCAAATCATTTTATAAAGGAATGTAGTCCAGGATGCCACAGGGTTCTTTCTAAGATCCTCCACAATGTTGCTCCCTTTCTACAAATGATAAAAAATCTTTTCATAAAGGAGCTTTTAACTTATCAAATGAACTGATGAATCTCTACTTTTCTGCCTGCGTAAGAAGACATGTTTAAAGCCTCATAATGATACACAGCATCTTTCAATATTTCTCTGTAATTACAAACCTGGCTGCTGTTAACAGGACCTGCCTCTTCTGCTGATGATTTAACTGGATTACTAATTAGTGTTCTCTAGCACGTGACCTTCCTTTTTAATGTATTATTTATTTGAAGATAATTCTGCTGACAATTTATCCAGTATTCTACTCTGTTCTGTCAATTTGGTGATGATCACATATTTGAAAATGGGACCAAAGTACTTTATTTTTATTAACACAAGGTAGGTGTAATTGCTATGTTTTCTGTGGAATAATATCGGTTATCATAATCACCATCCTCACCCCCAGCACCGCAGAGTATTTGCTTTGTGCCAGATGCGGACTGACGCCCTTTCTATGTGTTAACGACACCCGAAGAAGGGGTGGAGCTGTGATCTGAACCTGTTTTATTCAGGAATAGTTCTCTTAACCATGACGATATACTGAACCATGTTTCTTAAATCCTAAAAGTAGCTCTTCTTCTGATTCTGAAATTATTTCTCATGTTCATTTTTTTTTCCTCGTTTGGCTTGAGTTCTGCTGACCGCCTATTCCCTTACCGCAACCCAAATGGTTGCATCCCCAAAGGCAATACTTAAAACGGAAGTTTTTAGGGTTCCTACTCCTTGTAATGATGAGAATGAGAGCTCTCACCACTCTCTCATTCCTCGAACTGCACACCTACTTATAAGCCCAGACATCTCACCCCTCCTTTTCTCCGCCCCTTCCCTTGTTTGAATCACATTTACTCTGCAAGTTAACTGATAACTTTCCGGCATTTAATCTTGGTTCAAAAACAATTAAGTTCTCATCTGGTAAATCTTTATTTTTTTCCTACAAATTAGAAAATATTTTTTAAAAAATGATAATCCATACAAATCTAAAGATCAGGCAAAGATCTGGAATTTTTAAATGTTTAAGCAGCCTACATACACACAGAGAGAATTCTAAGTTTAAGATTGTCATGATTTGGGAATAAATTTAATCTAATAATGATAATCGCAGCCGCTGTGTGCTTTTTCTGTTCTTATCAGCAAATTTGGGAAGCCTTTGGCCCAAGTTCAGTGAAAGCTGGAAATTTTAAAATAATGGGTTAATATTTAAGTTGCCATGTATAGCGCTAAGACAGCATTTGCTACAAAACCATGTCTCAGCTTCTCGCAGTGATTGGTTAATGCATGAAATAATAAAGCACATTACTGTTTTTAGTAAAATGTTTAGCACATAAAATGACAAATATACCACCAGACAGAATAGATAATAAGTTAACTGGTCTAAAGTAATAAAGAGAAAGAAAAATATTTTCTGTAGTCCTAAGTCCTAGGTAAAATTTTGAGTTCCACTTTCCTTTCATCTACTAAAAAAAAAACACACACACACAGACAAAATGAGCCCAGCCTTATTCTGTAATTGGAGAATAAGACCAAATTCTAAAGGAGAATCCACAAAGGGCAACCATCCTTCCAGCTCCTCCTCCCACTTCCTTTTGAAGCCCCTCCCACCTTGACCTCAACTCTGACTCAGGGTCAAAGGATACCTTAGAGACTCCGTGAAGACAAAGGAGAAGATATCTGCAGCTCTCTGTTTTCAAAATCATAAGTGAACATACGTAGGAAACTTGTTAGATGCTAAGCACATAACAAGCATTTGGTTACTCAGTCCTCACAGTAAATCTGTAACAGAAAACTATGGCTTTTAAGGAAGAGATGAGATACCAAAGCTCAGATGAATTAACTAATTTTTGTCCAAAGGCACAGAGTGGCAGAGGGTAGGATTCCAACTGAGACTGTCTGCTGCCAAAGCTCTATACTCCCCTGAACAGTGCTGCCTCCAGGCAGCCCCCCAGGACTCCTGGGCCAGGAAGCCTAAAAACTTTGCATTTCCTACTTCCTGAAAAACAGCTCCAACCCTTTCAAAGCAAATTCCCCATACAAGATCAATATTTAGAAGAACACATCAAATTCAACATTTATTACTGTCCTGGTAATTAACATTTTAATGGAAACCTCCA